AATTTTTACACAATTTTGCTTGCCCCACCCTTCTCCTTTAGAAAAAAAACGAGAAAAATCCTACGTTGTTTGTACCGGAAAAGGCTCCAAGGTGTCGAAGAAGAAAAACAAGAAGGGAGGTAGGACAATGGTTAAGTATGTCGACAAGAGGCTAAAGAAGGATAAGAAGGCGAAGAAACGCGTAGAAAAGAAAAGAAAAAATATGTCAAGACGCAAATACTCCAAATCGAGACCTTTCAAATTTAAGCAGAAAATTTGAGAAGCGTTACTTTATGTGTATCTCTAGGGCCCTTTCGTCATTTTCTAAAGTGGCGAAAACTGTTGTAGATAAATTTGCGTAAAAATATTTTAAACCATTTTGACCCCACACCTGTTCGCACACTTTTTAAGTGTGATGAAAAAAAAAAAAAAATGTTTGTTTCCTTTGTGGCTTGCTGTGTAACTTTATGTCATAAAATTATGCACAGTCATACATTATAACATTTTCTTCTTTTTTTTTTGTGCTGAAATAGCCAAAACTGTATAAGAAAAAAAAAAAGAAACTAAGTACAAATTGGTTAAAAAAGTTATGACCTGTTCATACGATAAAAGTAGAACAAAGTGGTTGTAAAAAAAAAAAAAAAAAAAAAAAAAAAAAAGGAAAAAAAGCTAGCTTCCTTACACCTTTTATGCTCCATTTTATGGTGAACGCATATTCGAACAAATTTCCCCAGTTCGAGGTGTGTAGTTGTAGTGAAACCCGCCAACTGCAAAAAAAAAAATGGTGTATGTTTTTGAGGTGGCAACAAGGGGATACATAGGCAAATTCGCACATGTGCATATATGCATAAGTGTATACACATGCATACGTTTCTGCAAACGCGAGGCACTTTTTGTACGCGGGGCGTGGCGATGCAAAGAAAACGCAATATGCGTGTAAATACATACGATGCAATTATTTGTACGCGCATTTGACACAACTAAAGTGACGCAACTGTGCACACATCACATAGGAAGAATCAACTTTGCGCATTGTACATCGCAGAGCATTTTTCATTAGCATTCGCTTATGTTGTTTCCTACATGCTGAATTTGTCAAAGTATAAATTGTTCGCAATAAGTGTACATTCAAGGGAAGGGGGAAAAAAAAACAGGACAATAACAGTGACAATGAAGTGGAGTCAAGTCGAAAGCGCATGGTAACAAACTTTTTATATGTACATGTGTGCACATCCACGCTGTCACTAAGTGTTTAAAACCATGTTAAGATAACTGAGAAAAAGTATAGATTAAGTAATACTGCGAACAGGTGTATTAATATGTAACTGGTACGCACGTATGCAATGTGCGCACCTGCCCCTTTCGCCACGTTTTCTACAGCATATAGAAGCATGCATACGACTTGGGCACAGCTCCCCACATGTTAATATTCTTACCTTTTTGCCGAAAAATAGGCAAAAAAAAAAAAAGGTAAGCCAGTTTAGAACTCTGAACTGATAACTCCAAGCGAGAGCAACTTCCAACATTTTATCAAAAACGTAAACAAAATAAAAATGGCTAATGGTTCTGTTCTGCCAGCCCAAAGGTACTATTTAGAAACGCATGAGAATTATTTAAGCATAGTGAACGTAGAAAATAATGTGCGAAACATTTTAAAAATTAGCCATGCTGAAGATGTACACATAGTCAAGGAGAAGCAAAAACTTACAAGCAGTCGTGACAGTAGCTACACAGAAAATGAGAACAAAAAAAAGTTCCCCTTTTTTGGCTGTTTAGGGATAATTAAAGCGGAACATACCAACTTCTTAGTCATAGTGTCTGATGCGGAAGTCGTTTCTTATTTGTTTAATCGAGCTATTTATAGGGTAAAGAAAATATCCTTTATCCAGCTGAACGATGAAGAGGAAAGTAAGGACAAGACAGGTAACTATCACAATTATCAGTATGAAATATTCTGCCTCGGGAGCAATGCCGTGTTAACTCCCTTAAATAGTAACCACAGAAAGGAAAGTAAAAAATTCTTCTGTAACAAAAAGTTAAAGACGCAAAGTAATTTCGACAATATATTCGAATGGAACAATTTACTTTTCAAAGGTCCCGCTGTCAAGAGTACACAATTTCGCAATAATAGCGAAACGTACATTCATAAACTTAAGAATAGTACATTGACAAAAGATACATTAAAAACGATAGCGTATTTTTGGCATGCATTTAATAAAGGCCCCTTTTACTTCTCCTATCACTACAATTTAACGGCGTCTCTGCAGAGGCTTTACATAACTGAGTCTGAAAGGGAGAAAAAGAAAGGCAAATCATTAGCCACGTTGGTATCTGGTGGATCAGAAAATTATGGAGATGAAATTAAAAATCAGGGGGCAGCAGAACCCATTTTCCACAAGCTACAATTCAAAGAAATTAATCATGAGTACACATGGAACTGGAAATTGCTTCACCAATTTATTCCCATAGATGCATTCGAGTTCGTGGTGTTCCTAATACATGGCTACATCAATTCAAATGTGTTTCATATCCCTAATGGAAAATTAACATTGTATTTGATATCGAGAAAAAATAAGAACAGAAGTGGGGTACGGTTTTGGTGTAGAGGCGGAAATGAAAAGGGAGATGTAGCCAATTTTGTAGAAACAGAACAAATTGTAGTATGTAAAAATGCCCACAGGACAAACATTTTCAGTTACATCATTGTCAGGGGATCCATCCCTGTCCTCTGGAAACAACAGCCAACCCTGAGTATAAGGCCAAGAATACAAATCTGCCCAGACATGCAACAAAATGCGAACACGTTGAATCTACATATGCAGAAATTGAAGAACACTTATGGGAAAATCTCCATCACAAATTTGAATAATAAACAATTTGGTGAGAAGTATCTAGGGCAGTGCTATGCGGCATGCTTGAAGGAGTGCAGCGTGGAGCATAACTATACCTGGTTTGATTTCCATAGCGAGTTTAAAAAATTAAATTATCAAAATTTGCACACGTCGCTGAAAACGGTGATTGAGGACTTGAACGATTTTTCCTTTTTCTCCGTTTCGTTTCCTAGCGGGGCTAGGTACAATTTGGAGTACGGCGATGAGCTTGGCGGTAAGGATTTGTGTTCCCGCTTCCCCTCGTGGTCATCAGCAAAAGTGGACACTTTCCAAAAGGGTGTCTTTCGAGTCAACTGCATCGACTGCCTAGATCGAACGAACGTCTTCCAGAGCTTCCTGGCAAAGTACATCCTACACATGCAACTGCGCACTATGGATATCAAGCTAGAGCAGGAAAACAAGTTCCCCTTTTACCTTTTTAAGAATGCACATGAGGAACTCTTGTATCGCCAGACTTGGATTCACAATGCAAATGCGATTAGCATTATATACAGTGGAGCAGGAGCTCTAAAAAATGACATAACGAAAAATGGAAAGAGAACCATTGGGGGGCTACTTCAAGACCTGTTCCACATTGTGCAGAGGTACATAAATAACAACTTCCTAGACGGTTACAATAATGACTGTATTCATTTGGCCACCAGCGAGAATTTGAAACATCAACATGTGTTTAATGTCCACAAGGGTAAATATAACCAAATGATAAATGTAGTTTTGGAGTTTATCGTAATTTTTACGACAGCTGCTTGTACTAGCCCTGTGCAAAAATTGTTAAAGGGGGTTTACTTTTTATCCCACAACATTACCTCCACCACACTATCGCAGTGCATTAATTACGCACTCTTCCTGATGCGTAGAAATTTTCATTTGTTTTTATTTCCCTACAATCAAGCTAAGTATTTCCATTTTATTTCTCTGCTGGCAAAAGCGTCTGGAATTTTTTCCACTTCCTTTTTAATTTTCGTCTTTTTTTGTGTGTATGTGTTTACTCAAAGGCGGCGCGTGATCTCCTCGCCCAAGCTGGGCACCGATTAGAAGGCAAAGAGGGGAAACTTACTCCACGTGCACTTGCGTGTGAGGAAGTGAAACAAAAATTGACACCTTTCTCTTAGTAACAACTGAGTGGATAAAAAAAAAAAAAAAAAAAGTTATCATCATAGTAATATTTTTTTTTTTTGTACATATATTGATTATTATGAAGTGGAATTGGGATATAGCCTGGCTCTGCGTCCCTTCCACCTACATGTAATTCGTTTCGCATTTCGTCCTTCCCCCCTTCGCTTCTCTTCCCAGATTTTCCTTTTTTCTATCATGCCCCCTTTGCCAATGCATCGAAAAACTTTTGAACAACTCATACGGATCATGTTAAACCATGTCTGCGTGTTATGTGCAGATGGAGCAAAATTTTGTATTGAACTCAATGGAGGAACACTTTGTCAACCTACTTCGGCTAGGTGTTTTTCCCGCCGTGCCCTTTAAAAATTATTTCGCCTCGAGGTGAACTGTTCACATGTGAGACGTACTTCCTAAATATGTTTGCATTCCCGCATGTGCGTACTAATGCATTTATACCTACACATGTGTATAACGCAGCACGACATGCATGTAGAGCCCCTGTGAACGACCGCTTAGCTAAGATCACGTCTCTTCCATTCGACGTAATCTCAAAGAACATCCTTTGTTAAGCTAGCTCCAGTTTGAGTAATACGTGTTCTAAATACACGTTGGCAATTTTGACAGGCGAAAAATCATTATTTTTTTTTTTGTCCCCGTGAACTGAACTATGTGATCGTTTGAGAAATTTTTCATCTCGCCTTTTCTGACGCTGCGCGAGGTGAACACACAATAGGAACACGTTCCAAATAAGCAAAAAAGGCAACGCACAATTTAGGGGCGTCAAAAAATCATGAATGATTAACCCAGGCAGGAAAAAAAAAAAAAAAAAAAAAAAAAAAGCAAAAAAAACATGAACAACATGAACAGCTGAGATGGGAAGAAAAAACAACACAGGCACACAAATAAAGGAGCCTAACGAGGAAATAGAATGAGAAAAAATGGGAATAACATAACGTAAAAAAAAAAAAACACACCACTTCATACACGCCATCCGTATAGTTACAATGCCATAAAATGAAAAATATAAATCACAGACAACGTTTCTGGGAAACTACTACTGCAAATAATAAGAGCTACAACAATCCTGAAAATTTAAACACACGGTACAAGGAATCCAACGAGAAAAGACCCACAAAAGGAAGCACCCATCATGTGCTAAGCAAAAACAGAAAGGATAACCAAACTACAAATGTTGAAATTATCACAGAGGTGAGTAGGGCAAGGGAGAATCCAAGTTTGAATTGCAAACCTGTTAGAGGTGAAAACCATAGTGGAGAAAAAAAAAAAAATAACAGAAAGGTGAAAAACGAAACGTTCAATTCGAGAGTCAGTGCTGATACAAGAAGAAACAACGCCCAGGGTGATACACTTGTTCCACTTAAGAAAAACGGACAACGGAAAATATTTTTTGAAAAAAGGGAATGTCTTCTGAATAGGGAGTCAGCGGCATTTCATGAAAAAAAGGACATAGAAAATGACGCGAACAATTTTTCCAATTTCATCACTTTTGATGATGAGCCAACAGTGAGTGAAAACAGTTCCATCCAAAATGACACCCCGCATCGCACACGCAGGGATGCACCCACGAACGATGACTTGGACATTTCGTTAAAAAATGTTCATTTCGATATTCACTTGGATGTTAACGGGGGAAATGGAGGAATCCACACGGAGGCCGAAACCGAGACCGCTCCACAGGGTCGTGCTGCCCGTAATGGTAGCAGAGATGAGAGCAGGAAAACTAAACATGGTCCAAGTGGAAATGGAAGGGATGGGAACAACCCCCTCCGTGAGAATAACACCGGGATGATGGATGTTGAAAAATTGAACAAGGAAGAAAATGCTGAAAAGGAACTACTACTGGAGCATATAAGGAGGCTGGAGTATCAAAACAATATATTTCTCAACAACCTTTTAAATGTGTACTATGTCTGCATGGACTACATCAAAATGCAGGACGAGAAAATAAAAAAAAATGAAGAAATTATACTGTTCCAGAATAAAATTATAAAAGATTTAAAGGAAAGTGATCACTTGGAGGACACCACAGGTATGAGTAATGACACAACTGGTAATTGCAAAAATGATGACTCAGATTTGTGAAGTGGTATCCCCTTTTCGTTTTAGTTAAAAGGACAATTATGACGCTGTTAATTTTTTTCATCATCGACGAGGCCGTTCATCCTTTTTGGCCCTATTTGTGTAGTTTATTTTTCATTAACAAAATTTGAAGCAATCACTGTGTGCAACACCACATTGTGAATGGCACAAAACAGGGAATAAAGTAATAACGAAGCTGTGACAATATTGAAATAGAGGGGGGAAGACGCACAGTCAGGTATATGTACAGGGTCCCTCATAATTTTTTTTTTTTTTTTTTTTTTCTTTTGCCTGCCCGAGCGGAAAAGCAGAACAGGGCCAAAATTGTTACTGTATACATTATAATAAACATCGCATAAAGGAGAATACGAAATGATTATACATGAGAGGGTCTATATTTTTCGAGTAAAAAAGGTAAATTCCCGTTTGTTGATGTGTAAATTTTCCCATTTTTTCATATAATAAGACCAGCTGTAGCTGTGTGCATTTGCACCTCCACTGAGTTGGAGTTTTCCGCACGTCGCTCATGTTCTGCCATTCGGCATGGTGACAATTACGCACACGCAATGAAAGGTGTGTAATTCTATGTGTCTTTTGTTTTTATTTTATTTGTTTTCAATGCTCTTTTCATTGTTACCTTTTTTATATTTTCCCACTTTGCAATTTTTTCATTTTTTTCGTGGTTGAAAAAAATATGTAGACTGTACCCTTGGTTCCCCAACACACAGCTCCACTTGAGCCCCCTTTATTTGACTCCCAGTTCTGATTTTTCAAAAAATGTTGCGCGCCCCATGGCAATTCTTGAAAATGCATACGTATACCAACTGTTAAAATGGGAAAAATGTGCAGCCTGGTTGAATAAGAAGGAGGATACTCTTGTAACAGACCATATCGAAAACTTACGCCTTCTTTACAATAGGCCTAACAACAATTCGTGCATAACGCGATAAATGGAACCTCCTTGGCCAAAGCAGGAACACATAACAAACGCTTCTTTTTTTATATATATGCCCCTTAACATATTTCACATGTAGGTGAGGCATATGTTACGCACAATCGTATAAGCCATTCCCATTTATACACATTTAGCAAAAGACCATCCGAGGTGTTTACGTGCACACGCGTGTCAAAATGAAAATGTATTTATTTATAAGTTAATTAAAAAGTTCCGCTTCATTTTTTCACAGTTTTTAAATGTAAAATTTGAGGATGCAGACCAAACTAGCATTACGTACAACATCCTTCAAATGTCCCTAGGATAAAAAAAAAAAAAAAATGGCTCTACGCACAAACACATAAATGAGCGTACAGACACACATATATATATGTACATATCTACGTATGTACTTGTAGCATAAATGTCCACATGGACGCACTTGTGTATATCCTCTGTCTACACTTGTACGAAACATAAAAAAATGAGGAGTCCTCGCCCCGCTTATTCATTCTGCGAATTCTTCTTCGTTCGTTCGCTGTCAATAACTTCAACCTGTAGAGACCAAAAGGGGAAGGAATGGACGAATGCATAATCGGGGTAATCATTGCTGCTCCTCCCCTCCGCTTGTACGTACAAGCGATATGAACCAAAAATGGGACACGTATACAACGATAGCGCAGGGCACATATACATATTATTTATGACAATCCGATATGCTATAGATTCACTTGTGCACATTTTTCATCACATTGTTGGGGTCCAATACAGCCACTCCCTGTGCACACTTACGAATGCGTTTATTTGCTGTTCATCGATGAAGCTTAATTCCTTCTCGGTCAGCAGGGCGACTTCGATATTTTTGCTGCTCAATTCAACGACCTATTTACAAATAAAAATGGGATGGATTAACAAAAAAAATGTAACATTTAGCAAAGGATCAACATTGCACCTAATTAATCATGGGTGTTTCCCTTCACAAAAGAATCCTGCCTGCTCTTTCAAGACGCCACGGACGCACTCATCTTCGCTGTGCTCACCTCAAATATAGCCTTCATGGCTAAGAGGAGGCAATCGTTCTGTTCCATATTTTCTTGGTAATTTTTTTCCAGAAATTCCTGCACAACTTTTGCGTTTTTCCCAATTGCCTGCGCTTTCCACGATGCATAAATTCCGCTGGGCTCAGTTTGGTAAATGCATATTTCTTTGTTATTCTTAAATCCAGCTATTAATGTTGCTATTCCAAATGGTCTCACGCCTCCTCTGTGTGTAAACTTTTGCTGAACCTTTGCGACGTACTTGGCAATGTAGTCAACTGGCGCCGGTTCGTCCATGTTTAAAAAGTACCTCTGGCATTCCAGTCGCGTCTGAAAGGGGAAAAAAAAAAAGTGTAAAAAAATATGAACATTTTGGCTATCTACAAAAAACAAAAAAAAAAAATGAACATTTTGGCTGTCTGCAAAAAAAAAAAAAAAAAAAAAAAAAAAAAACACTTTGCACGTTGTGGCTAGTTCACCTTGTTCACTAAAACCCTCGCATCGGCATTAAGCCCCGCAAAGGCTAAACAATTGTGTTCGTCCAACTTGATCAACTTCTCGGTCGTTCTTGGATTTTGCAATTTCGGAATGTTCTTCTTTTCCACTGCCAGAACAGCGAAATTTGAACTTTTTATTGCCACTGCACAGCCTCCTTTTTTAACCGCCTCCAAGGCATGTTCTACTTGTAGCAAATGTCCATCAGGACTGAACACGGTTATGGCTCTATCATAACTCATTTTTATTTTCGAGTTACGTTATCTGAATTGTTATTTTGAATTCTTGCACAGGAGTCCCTACAAACGATATCAAAAAGGGGAATATATAAAATGGCGTTCCGAATAAATATATACATTTAACGCGCGGTGTAAATACGTACGCTACTTGCACGAGGCAATTTCGCGTTGTCCACTTTGATCTTTGTTATTAAAATGAAAGGACAGATGCAAACTATGCGAATATGAATGTGATACAGGCCGTCGGTTGGACAACGTTCACGCAGGAGCAGAAAAAAAAAGTACCCAAGTATATATGTGCACACGCAAATGAGCGATGAACGAACAACGCCAGCGCGCTGTAGATGCTACACAGTGACATACAAAACAAAACGGATTTAACCATGCATATACACAACAGTGTGAACATGGCTAAATCAACGCTCAGGACTTGGGACCAATTTAAGATAACACAAGCATGTAAAGTGATTTATGCGCATCGAAGCAATCGTCTAGATGGCCACCAGATGAACACACGAGGATGCTCAGAACGAATATAATAAAACAAATTCACGTACACTCTTTTGTACAATTTTTGTTCAACTGTGGTGACGGGGGAGAAGAGTTGTCAATACAAACGTATAGGCGTGACTACACGCATACAGATACGCATTCAAATAATTACTGCTTGTATGCTATGCACGCATGGTACGCGCACATGCGAGTATGTTAGCTGCGCATATGTTTATACTCTCATGCACTTACAGCAGGAGTGTATGCTTGGACTATCCACCTGGGGCATATGGCTTGTACGGTAGGGTTGGTGTATCTCCTTCGATATTTTCTTACACCCTTGGGGGGTTCTCTTTGTGCGAATGAAATTTTGATAATATTCAATTCGGGTGCGCCCTAAATGTTCGTGTGATAGATTAAATTGATATGTAAATGCAAGTAGGGATGAGAACTGTGCTTTTGGAAGTGGCTCTTCGGCGAGGTCGCTACTTTGGAGTATCTCTACTGTGGGGAGTCACTCACCTGGGAAGTCACTGATTTGGGAAATCACCATGTTAAGAGGTTACTCCTCGAAGTTATCAGTTTGTTTTCCTGTTTCCAATTTTTAAAGAGCACTTTTTGTTTTTTTATTTTTTCTTGTTAAGCTCCTCCCAATGGGACATACTCGCATGTATCATTGGTGACACCGCGCGCAAGAGTGTAAGGCACATTTCGGGGGATGCGTGTCGAGAGCCATCCGTCGGGTAACGAGCCCCCCCCCTTGTGGCGTGCCGCATGTGCCTACTTTTTACCTTCCCTACGGGACGTATTCCCACTTTGCCCTTCTTTCGCACCTTCACCTTTTGATGCTCCCCGGGAATGACATCCCCAATTGCATAATAATATATCTGTTCGTAATTATAGCACATGTGACACAAACCATTGGTACGTGCTCCATCTCTGCCAGCATTCTTCAAAAGGCCTTTGCCCCACGGCGCGTGCGGTAAAAGTGTGAAACAATACAAATAAGCATCACCACCATCGCTTTGGTTTTGTTTTTCCCTTTTTGTTTTTTTTATTAAGCCCTAGTCCCTTTATCATAATTCCCCTCCACACTCAAGGTCGTAACTGAGCTACTCTCACATATTTTGAGAGAAAGGGAAAAAAAAAGTTCAAAAAGGGCGTATTATTTCCCACTCACCTTAAGCTGCATCGACATAGCTCTAATTTATTTTCTCCTATTAACCATTCCATGCGCATAAATTTGCAGCACATTTATGAACAAGCTTGCGTAGCGCAACGTGTAGCAGCACACACATATACTTCGTTGTTCAGTCCGTGAAAAACGAAACAACGAAGGGAATGCAAATTAGAGGTGGCCAAAATACCAAGTTGCATTTCCTCCCAATTGCAAGCTTCCAAACGATAGAGGGACACCTCTTCGAGCGTAAATTCTCCCATCACACGTAATAACCTTGCTCAGGAATGGCCAGGAGATATGACAGTAGGACGACGACCTTCTCCCCAGAGGGTAGATTATACCAAGTAGAATATGCCCTAGAAGCAATAAATAATGCAAGCATAACAATTGGCATAATAACAAACGAGGGTGTAATTCTGGGGGCTGACAAAGTGTTCATATCGAAGTTAATAGATAAGGCAAATAATTTCGAAAAAATATACAAAATTGACAAACATATATTTTGTGGAGTGGCAGGATTAAATGCCGATGCGAACATTTTAATAAACCAGTCCAGATTATACACACAAAGATATTTGTACAACTACAATGATGTGCAACCTGTGTCCCAATTAGTCGTTCAGATT